TATAAAAATCCATATAGATAATTTCCTGAATGACAACTTTGGCTACTTTAAGTGAAGAGAGATTTTTGTTAATTGTGCATAAACCATATTTGTGGGAGGGAGACTAAGAAATGTTAACAAAAATTAGAAATAGAACATTGATGGGAGTGAGGGAAGAAGATAACAGTCAAGAAACAGAGCATTAAGTCAAATCAAGAAGCATTTATCAAATGTAGTCAATCCTACTATGCACCTAGCATAGTGCTGGGGATAGAAAGGCTAAAAGAGTCCCTTTCCACAAGGAATTCATAATTCTGCAAACAACTATGTTCAAACAAGATATATAGAAGATAAACTGGAAGTAATCTCAGCGGGAGTAAGATGCTAGCATTTAGGGAGAACCAAAAGTTCTGGCAGAAAATGAGATTTTAGTTTATCCTAACTCTTTACTAGAATACTTAAATGACCATTAATCCAATTTTGGAAACCTACCACGGTGAGAGTATCAACTAGTAGATCTGAGTATTTTACTTTATTTAATCTAGGATTCAGAATGTGTATCAGAGTGTATTATGGTTCTATTGTAAAGTAGAGTTCAATTCAAACATGTATTAAGCCCCTACTATGAGCAAGACATATTGTATAGATAATCATTTTGTTAGTTTAAGTGCTGAAAATTTCTGCTTTGGTAATAACTATTAGTACTTAAGTAGGTTGATTTAAGCCCTAATGCTGAGCAAAACCTAAAAACAGGAATTTTTAAATGCTTATGTTTGAGTTTGTACATTATTTACTACCAGGTACTAATAAAAACAAGATAGTTTTGTTCAAATGTAAAATTATTAGATTTTATAAAATAAAAGAATATGTTAATGGGATATTAATTAATGAGTATGATAATTATTCTTCCTTCTTAGAAATTAACTTTTACTCAGTCATACATTAAAAAGCTTAGGGAGCTTTAAAAATTAAAAAGATTTTAAATAGAAATACCATAATTAACAGGAAGTGGACATATTAATGATATTGCTTTGCACATAGAGTTTAATAAATGCTTTTTCATTCATTCATTCATTCATTCACTGAGCATCAAATGCCTTTAAAATTTTCGAGTGACAACAATATTCAATTGATTAGATTGGCAGTGAAATGAAAGTAAAACTTGCACAAGATTTTATATCTTCAAATTAAGTACTCAAACTGCAAAATGATTTTTACTAATGGTAACTGGCAAACTATTTAACTCAAAACCACTTAACTTTATAAAATTCAGTACTGCTCCTGGGGATGTAGTTAGGAAAAACTGATAAAATATATTAAAATATGCTTTTCCCCAAATATTGGCACATTCAGACAGCAAATTTTTAAAAATTTCATGTCTCATTTGTCCTTTTCTTTATCCAGCTTACATTTACCTGCAGTTAAGAAGACAGCTTTGCTAATGTCAGCAAATTATCCACATACTCATCTGCTCAAACATGTTTGGTTCATAATGCAAGTCAAGAAAACCTTTTAAGTTAACACACTTACACATATAACCTGTTTCAAACTGTTTCCTGGTTCAAATTGACTAGAAAATTTTTTATAAAACAAATTATCTCTATTGTGGCTTTTTACTCACAGACTTAATGTGTATACTTACTTAAAAATCACATTGCATAGGAAAAAACATTTAAAAATCATGCGGCATTATCCTTCTTTTTAACAAAACCGGAGAGCACTTGAATAACCAAAATCAATTAGTTTGGGATGTCTTCTGAAGCAGGAAGGAATTGTAATTTGAGAAATGAGAGATTTCAGAATTTTAATTAAAGCAAAGTGTTTTCACGAACTCTTTATATTGTATAGTTCTTTTAGGTTTATTCAACTACTACTACTAAGAACTTTCATTTTTTTCTACTTCACAGCTCCCAGAAAGAAGTTCTTAAATTCATCCCCTCAAAGCCTCTTAATTTTCAGGCCAAAATGGATTATCTTGGAAGAGTAATTCAAATGGACAAAGAACAAGCTTAATTTGGGGAAGTTCTATTAATTGTAATGTTGAAATTTCTGGCTCTTAGAAAGTATTGTCCCTTTAAAGTCCTCAGCCTGGGAGAAGTAATAATAATAGCTTTAACCTTGCCCAGCCTGAAGTCAGTTGGGGGGATGCTTGCAGTTCTGGCACCAGTCTCTTTTAACAATGAAGAACACAGGACGGGTGAGGGAAATTTTATATGGGAAACTGAAGCAAATTTTTCTGAGAGCATAGGCCTAAACCTTCTTTACTACTACACAACATTCAGATACATATATACACTTCCTAATTATAGTTGCAGTTTAAAGCCTTTTAATTTATTCCGACAAGGGTTCAGGGTGAAAAGAGAACCAGACAGGCATATTTTTACAGATCAGTATACTTCTTTGTGGGGGTTACTGCTGGGGACTGTAGCTGCTTCTTCCCTACCAATCACTTGGCTGACTAGAATCAAACTATTAGTCAGGAGGAAAAGGGTACTTTAATGCAGGGTCAATTCTAGGATAAATTTGTGTCTGATTCAGTCTTTGTGTCTGATTTAGTCAGCCACTGCATGGGAAGAGGTTGCATTGGGAAATAACCTCCCATTAGCTGGTCTAAAAAAGTCAATGTGGCAGCTCCCTAGTTTCTGATAGTTCCCCTACTTCTTGAAACTCTTCCCACTTCCTGATCCATAGTGCCTAGCAGCCTCACCCTGACTCATAGCTTTGCCAAGCATGTTAAAAAGTTCTGTTGGGGCTGTACTGACAGCTTGAGCTGTTGGTCTGGCCTTGGGATAGGAACTGGTTAAGCCCAGAGCTGGGCCTTGTCCTGTGGCAAATGCCAAGTCAGCAGGTTTCCTCCCCCTCCCCCTCCTCCTGCACCCAGGAACTATGCACAGCACTAGCAACAGTTTTTCCTCCAGCCTGGGAGATAGGAGAAAAGGGATCTTATGTCTAACCCATCCCACCTGGCTCCCATGCACAGGGAAATAAAGGGACAAGAAAAAACAACAAAATTTTCCGTAACACCTCACTCTGTCCCTACACAAAGAGTACACATATTCCACCAGTTGAAGATGGAAGAGGAAAGAAACTTTATGGAAAAAGCCCAAAGCTAACACCGGTAATACTAACCCCCTGACTGATCCAAGGACTCAAGTAAGCAGGCTAACCAACACCATAAAGTCACTGTGGAGAGGGGGTGATGGGAGAAGATTTCCTTCGCTTCTCAGCAAGGATGATGGAAGATAGACTTTTCCTGCTATCCACGCCCAGAGCTGAAAGCTCTGGGGTTCGAATTTGCTTGATCTTAACCCCATACTAGCCAGACATTAAAAGTAGTGAACATATAAGTGAATGCAGGAGAGAAAAGTAGGGAAAATAAATGGGTCTCCTTTCTCTGCCGCTCAGAGGTGGTGCAGGGCAGCACTGACTCTGAATCACTTAATCATCCTGCTACCCTCTAAACAGCACATCTCTCCTTTATGTCAGGGTGGTTCTCAGTATGAGAGTATGTCATTCTTTGTCATCCTTGTGTCCAGTCTTTTCCCTTCACGTTCTGTGTATGTCTCTGTATATCTTTCTGGGTGTACATATCTCTCTCCTTGCGAGACTGTCTTTTTTTCCTCTGTTAACCACACCTGTCTGTTTTGAGTCTTTCTCTCCCACCTCTACATGCCCATACTGTCACCCCCACGACATTGTTTTTGTCTATAATCCCTCTCCTTCTCCCATTCCCACTTTTCCTATACTTGAACTCATTCTCATCTCTTCATCTGCAAGGCTCTATGTCTTCTTCTTGCCTATCCTGCCCCCAAATCTGGCCTGTTTCCCTTTGCATTTCTTCTTCTCACCTTTCCTTTAGTATCCTTCTGAGTAACTTTATGAGCCAGTTCACATTTATCTGTGCCTCCCTCTCCATTCACATTTCTCTGTCCTCAACCATGGTGGGGCTCTTCCCAGATCCCTATCTGTTCTTCTGCCTTTTAACTCCTCCGTGCACGTCCTTTCACTCTGTGTCAGTGTCCCTCTGTACGTCTATATAGTTGTCTCTCTCTATGTGTATGCACTTCCACTTGTGAATTCATGAGTCCCTCTCTTCCCATGTAGAGTTCACGGAAATCTATGGGTTTTCCTCCCTGGGGGTGTCTCCGTGTGTACCTATGTACCTTCTATTGTGTCTACATCCCAGTTCCCGTTCCCGTGTGCACATGTCCCCGCCTCGGTGTTCTCTCTGTCTCTGTCTCGGGGTCGGTGTCTCTGTCTCCAGCCCACACTCCGGCCCCTGCCGCTTCTCTCTCCCATACGGGTGGGTGTCCGTGTGTCATTCATTCTGCCTCCACTTGGTGGGTGCCTCTGAATTACCCCCCTTTGCCCCCCAATGGGGTTTGGGTGCGCCTTTCCCTCCCCCCCATAAGTGCTGAGTGTCCCTCGGACAGCTGTTCCCAGGCGCGTCCGGCCGTGCCCGAGCCTCTGTCCCAACTCTGTCCCTTCTCCCGCTGTCGCCTCTGTCCCCGGTCTGCCGGGCGGGTCCCAGGCTCTGTGTCCACTCTGCCCGGGTGTTTCTCTCCTTTTCGCCGGGGTTTATGTGGGGTGTCTGCTCCCGGGTCGGTCTGCGGCGGGTCCGTCTGTGCCTCCCTCCCTCAGGGTCGCGTTACAGACGGGAGGACGCCCTCGGATCCCCGCTCGGACCCGGGGGAGCCTCCTCGCCCCCGCCCGGCTGCACCCCAAGAAAAGGGCATCCAGGACCGACGCCGCCCGCCGACCTGGGGCTGTCCGGGGCGGAGAGAATCCTCCCGGGGCTGAGGCGGAGAGAACACTCCCGTGAGGGAGGACGGAATCCTTCTTGGGCTGAGGCGGCGCCTGGCGCCCGCCCCGTGACTGTCCTGCTGGGACGGGACGGGACGGGAGCGGGCAGGAGCGCGCGGCGCAGCCCCGCTCCGGAGCGCCGGCTCGGCTCTGCAGCGCAGCGCAGCCCAGCCCAGCCCAGCGTGGGCTCCGGCTCCGGCTCGGACTCGGACTCTCACCTTGTGGGTCTGGTACGTCTCCAGCGCCCGGATCGCCGTCTCTGTGAGCTTCACATGCAACACGGTGATGTTGTCCTGGCCGAGCCTCCCGCACGATAAACCGTAGCGCCGCTCCTCCCGCAGACCCGCTGCCGCCGGCCCCCCCGCCGCCATCTTAAACTCCCCCGGGTGCTGCTGCTGCTGCTGCTGCTACTGTTGCCTCCACTGCGGCCGCAGCTGCTCCGGCTCCTGCAGCCGCCACCACAGCTACGGCCATCCCGCTGCTGACGTACTGTCATATACTAAGCGCAACTAAACCCTCCCGCAGCCCCGCGGCCGCCACGTCCCGCCCCTTTCCACTCCTTTCCACCCCGCCCCCCAGGCTTGGTCACCGCTTCCCGCCTCCTATCATTGGCTCTCTTACTTCAAGGCCCTCCTCCATTGGCCGCTCTCCACCCGGAATGGGGCGGGGCTTCTAGTGGCCTCAGTTTCGCTTAGGAGACTGGATGCCAGGGAGCAGAAGGACTGACGTAGAGGTGACGCGCTCCTTAATTATTTCTGACGTCACGCATGGAAGACTTGGCCGGTCGGCCGCAATTGGTTAGCCTGGCCAGTGGCTCTTATCCTAATTGGGTGGCTAGGCTTAGGCTCTGGTTACCTGGATCCGGAGCCCCTCCCAGTCAGGGAGTGATAGCGGTGGGATTGCCGGTAGTAGTTGGAGTTTTCCCCCTTTTCAGTGGAATACCTGAACTTCTGTGTGAACTTTTGGGACGTGAGGAACCAGGGCTGAGTCAGGGGACGGGGCGAGGTGGGGGGAGGGTTGGTAGTGGCCAACCAGGGAATTTGCCCTCTTAAGGTTAAGAACTCCTGGTCTTTCAGGCGAGGACAGTGGGTGAACTTGTCTTTCCAAAGCTCAGACTCTACGGCTTGGGGGCGGGGACTCTTCGCCTGGGGGCGGGACTTTACAGCTTGGGAGCGGGTACTCTACAGCTGGGCGGGGGGGGGGGGGGGGGGGGGGGGGG